CTCCGAGGCCCTGTGTGGAGACAGTTCCCCTGTCTCTCAGGCTCTGTGTGGAGACGGTTCCCCCGTCTCGTAGGCCCTGTATGGAGTGGTTCCCCCATCTCCGAGGCCCTGTGTGGAGTGGTTCCCCTGTCTCTCAGGCCCTCTGTGGAGACGGTTCCCCCATCTCGTGGGCCCTGTGTGGAGTGGTTCCCCTGTCTCCGAGGCCCTGTGTGGAGATGGTTCCCCTGTCTCTCAGGCCCTGTGTGGAGATGGTTCCCCCATCTCGTGGGCCCTGTTTGGAGTGGTTCCCCCATCTCCGAGGCCCTGTGTGGAGTGGTTCCCCTATCTCTTAGGCTTTGTGCACAGATGGTTCACCTGTCTCTTTGGTCCTGTGTGGATGTGGCTCACTTGGCTTTTAGGTCCTGTGCTCACTGTCACTGCTCACTGTCCATCGGCCAGAGCTCAGTCACAGTTCTGAGTGAGGTTTATTACTGACGAATGTTTAGCACTCTCTGCCTCACTGTGCTAGTGACAAACCATGTCCCCGATCTTCTGGGCTGACTGCAGCCCGTCCACAGTGGTCGGGAGGCCCATGTCACCCCATGTGAGCATGCAGGAACACAGCTGAGAGGAGGCCACTTTCCTCACGAATTCGTAGACCAGGTCTCGTCCTCCTGGTCCCAGGTGATCTAAGTTTTGTCTTGGCACTAGCTGCTGCCCTTACCCGTCTTTTTTAACAGACTCATAGCACCATTCATGATCACTAGTGTCCTTTAACAGACATCACAGCATGTACTTGATCTGTCACTAGGGGGAGGTTGATGTCAGCTGCCGCCATCCAGTTAACTCATGGCAACGTTACTCATAACACAGGAGAGATTGCCTGGCCCAGCACCATTCACGATCATTGCTTGTTTGTTTTTTAATGTGTGTGTTTTAGTTTTATTAAGTGGTGTTGTTGGATGCTGCAGAGTTGAGTCTGAGTAGAACTGCCCCATAGGGCTTTCTGGGCTGTCGTCTTTATGGGAGCAACTCACCAGGTCTTTCTTCTGCAGAGCCGCTGGGGGGGTTCAAACCCCCAGTCTTTGAGTTGGCAACTGAGCACTTAACCATTGATAGATAGATCGATAGACATGGATTGATTTAAAGAATCGTAGAGAAACAGAGAACTATTGTCAGATGAGGAATTCTCTGAGTGAGCCGTGTGAGCCCTTATTGCACTAATGAGGCCACCAAAGAGTAGCCGCCATGACACTGGTCAGGCTGCAATACAGGCAGCTACTAATGGGGTTTGCCCAGAGCAGCCAGGCTGGCTCACAGGTCCTCTCACTCCCTTTCTGGCCATAGCTATTTTGTTAGAAATAAGAGATGATGACACACCGCTCCCCACCTTTGATGGTGTGATGACGTGGGTGGTTCAAAGCTCTGTTGTCTTCAATATCAGACCTCCCTGGCACTGAGCAGAGCTGGGGAGATGACAGGGGCTCCTTCCAGCTCCAGTAAGAGGCAGCCGAAGAAAGTGTAAAACACGTCTGCTATCACCACATTATGGATGAAAGATAATTTTCAGAAGTAATAATAATGAGGAGAAATGTGTTGGATTCACTGATGTTCTCATAAAAGAAGAGGGGAATCCCCAGATGTGGGAGGTGTAAAGGGAGCCGAGTACCAGAGCCGGTGGTGCCGGGCTGCTGCCGCGGCTCTCCTGGGAGGGGTGGGGCGGGCCATCCATCCTGGTCATTCCCAGGAGTGGGCTCTGAGGCCCATGCGGGGATGGGAGAGCCAGCCTCGAGTGTGGTGGCCAGTTGAATGAGACCCACACACGGGTATGAGGCTCTTGGAGGATGTGTTGTTGTTGATTGATTGTTGCTGTCAAGTCAAGCCTTAGTCATGGCCACCCCCTGTGTGCAGAGTAGAACTGCTTCATAGAGTTTTCGAGGCAGGGCCTTTCAGAGGGAGGGCTGCAGGCCTGTCTCCAGGTGCCTCTGGGTGGGTTCAAACCACCAACCTCTCAGCTGCCAGTTGAGTGCTTAACCTTCTGTGCCACCCAGAACAAAATTCTTAGGAGAACAACAGGGACAACACCGTCAGGCCTGGCTTTCAACCGTGGATTACCTAAAATAATAACAAAAGACCAAGAGCAAAAGACAAACTAAATAAATGGGACTTCATAAAAATGAAAGACTTTTGGTCATCGAAAGACTTAACCCACCAAAAAAGTAAAAAGACTAGCTACTGAGTGGGAAAATACCTTTGGAAACCATATATCCAATGAAACTTCAGCAACTTAACAAAAAGGTAAATAATCCAGGTGTCAAATGGGCAGAGGACTTGAATAGACATTTCACCAATAAAGACATTCAACTGGCCATAAACACGTGAGAGATTCTCAGTGTCATTAGTTATGAGACACCATTTCACTCCCACGAGGATGGCTGCAATTAAAATTAAAAAGAGGAAAATAGTGAATGTTGGTGAGGATGTGAGGAGCTTGCAACCCTTGTCCATTGCGGGTAGGAGTTCAAAATGGAACAGCCACCATGGAAAATAGTGTGGTGGTTCCTCCAAAAAGTAGAAATAGAACTATCATCTCATCCAGCAATTGCACTCCAAGGAAATGCCCAAAGGCTTGAAAGCAGAGACCCAAAAAGAGACTTGTACACCTGTTTCACTGCAGCACTGTTCACAGTAGCCAGGAGGTGGGAAAAACCTAAATGCCCATCAACAGATGCATGGATAAACGAAATGTAGAACACGCATTCAGTGGAATACTACTCAGCCAGGAAGAGAAGTGGAGTCTTGATATCACAATATGGTTGGAGCTTGAGGACGTTTTGCTGAGTGAAATGAGTCAATCACAAAAGGACAAATTTTGTGTGACCTCACTTATTTACAAAAAAAAAAGGGAGGAGCAGGGAAGGTTATTGCTAATGGAGTACTGAGTTTTGGTTTACGGTGATGGAGAACACGTTAAGGGGAGAGTTGCACACCTCATTAATGTAATTGCTGTCAATAAGTTGTATGCTTACAAAAAGGTGAATTGGAAAAAAAAAAAAAAAATGAAGGAGCCAGGGAAACAGCTATTTTCCCCACCAGCCACTCCTCAGAAGGAAGATGGGGCGATCTACTTCCGTAGTGATACTGCCTCAGAAACCCAAGGAGGGGTCGCTATGAGTTGGGTCCGACTCGATGGCACATAACACCAACAACAACATCAAATAAACCATATGACTTTACGCGAGATACCCCTTCATACCCACTATTGGTGATGGTGGTGGTGGTGGTGTTAGGTGCCATGAGTCAGTTTA